ACCACTGTTAAAACAATTACTGTTTCCATCCACTTATTTTCCATATAAGACTACCACTTTAGGTAGATTTTTTACAGGCTTAATTTCTGTTAAAGGTAAATTTCCCAGAGGCTGGAGCAATATCCCTTTATGCTATCCTACTGTTTAATAACGATGCTTCCTACAATTTCAAAACACATCTAAACACTACGGTAAAGCAAAGCTTCTGAAAATTTTAACTTGCTATAGAAGCAATCTCCACCAAGAATGCCTAGATCAAAGTAGTCTGTAAAACACCAAGCTTGAAGACCATCTCAATCCGTGTGCTGTATATTAAGTACACGTAATGTGCCTGGAGACACATTAATCCAGCCACAGCACAAGTATGCTAAGCTAATGCAGGAGGCAGCAGCAGTCCTGTCCCTGAACTGCCTGTACCTTGAGCAAGCACAATGCATCAGTGGGGTCTTGCTGCGAAATGGAGCAGGACACTAAAGAGGGTTAAATTCAAATCTGGCAGAAAAGCATGATTTGAAACCTCACGGTTCTCCCAATTTTATGCTGAACTGCTCATGAAAATACAGTGGCAAAAAACACATGAGGCTGGTGTTGCATAGCCCTGCACTTGCAAACCCAGGCAGTTCTTTCAGTCAGAGGTATTTCGCTCGCGCAGCTGCTCATACCTACACAGCATCAGAGTCAGGAATACAGCCAAGATATACCCATCTATATAAACATACCTTAGTAGGTGTGCAGAAATTCAAAACATTGCCTATAAATCTCTAAGTTTCTTTAATTTTGCTCTACTTTTGCATTTTTTAATTAATATTTTCTTCTAACAAGCACTCTACAATACAGAAAAAATCAGCTTAGTAGTTACTGTTGAAGTAAACCATCCGTGTGTCCCCACAGGTCTAGCTATGGGCAACGTTGCATAACCAGTTTTTAGAAAAGCTTGCTTGATTTTTGAAAGATCCTGATGCGAACAATTTTATATGCAATAGTGTTGGGAATATTATAACATGAGGAAAATCTAAATGTGTGAAATTAGAGTGCTACACGGATGTTATATTTGTTCTAATTTTAAGTTTAAAGTACAAACTTCTAATCAAACTAGTAAGAAAACATTCAAGCTTTCAAGAGAATATCCCAACAAGCATACAGAATGCATGGGGATGAAGAATTCAAGACTGCCTTTTATGAAGATGTTAACCAGCTCTGTGGGCAAGAGAAGTGCAGTGGATGTTGTTTACCTTGACTTTAGCAAGGCTTCTGACACAGAAGTGGTCAATAAGGGTGGGTGGAAAACTGGCTGGAGCACCATGACTGAAGTGTTTTGAGAACTGGCATGAAGTCCAGACAGTGGCTAGCTACTAGGAGAGTTTCTCAGCGGTTTTTGGTGTTTAAAATTTTTATTATTGACCTTAACTACAGCACAGAGTGCACCTTCAGTAAGTTTGCAGATGGTATCGGGTGAAGGGAAGCAGGTGACATGCTTGAGGGCAGGGTAGCTGTCCAGAGGGTCCTCAACAGGATGACAGAAACCTCACGACAGAAAAATGAAACAGCAGTGTGCCCTTGTGGCAACAAAGACGATCGCACCCAGGCTCCATTAGCAAGACAGACACCAGCAGGGCAAGGGAAGCAATTATTCTCTGTTCATTGTCTGCAAGACCACATCTGGAGTGCTTAGTCTAGTTTTGGGCCCCCAGTACAAGAAATATCTTGGACTGGATCAAGTCTAGCAGAGGCGGCCAAAACTGTCACAGGGCTGGAACACAAGGATGTACAAGGGAACTCCATTCAGTCTTAAGAAGAAAGGATCTTATTACCATCTTTATCTAGTGTAAGAGCAGAGGGAAGACAGAGCCAGGCTTCCTGGAGGTACACCGAGACCAGAGTTAATGGGCACAACATGAAACAAGGGAAATTTCAATTACATATTGGGATAAATTTTTTCACTGTGAGGATGATCAAACACTGAACCAGAGGCCCAGGGAAGCTGTAGGATTCCAGCCCTGGAGATCCTGAAGGCTTGACTTGTTGAGGGCCCAGCCACCTGATGTACATGGGCCCTGGACTGGACCAGAGAGCTCCACAGGTCCAAACCGAACTGCTGTACGTTAATAGTGATGGCCCTCAAAGCAGCATTCACTGACAGAAATGGTTTAGAACAGAGATATTTTTTAAAAAAATATTTTACACTGAAAGTTTCTTTGGTCTGATTTACTGTATAATTATACCCATTTTTCTCCATATGCATTTTCTGATTCACCAGAACTGAAGCTGTAGAAAGACTGAATGAGGACAAGACTGGTAGTAACAGGAAACCAAAACCACCTCCCCCACACTCACATGTGCTCTCATGTTAGCAATATGGAAGATTGTTCTCTTCTGAATTGCAGGGCAACAAGTTTTTGCTGGTGTAATCTACCTGATGAGTAAGGACTGCCACAGTGCAGTGACTGTTCCAAGGCGATTCCACTGTAAAGATAACATACATCATTCACTTCCCTTCTCTTTGGTGAATTTCAGTGGGAACACATCCTGTCTTGGGAAGACTAGCAATGTCTTTCAGAGAAGTCAAGGATGACTTAAGAAAATATTAATAAAGCTCACATGCGAGAAATGACTGTCAGTGCTGACAAAATAAATTAAGACACATTGCATCTTTGGTTTTTGTGAAACAATTATGGTGAAGCTTTGATGTCCTTGAACATTGACAATTTGGTTTAGATATAAGAAAGAGGCCAATAACCACTGAAGTTTAAAAACTGGGTGTCAGTGCCGATTACAGCTTCTGCCTTGTCATACGTGGCCAGAGTTACTGCTAGTCCTTTATTTTTCTCTAGAATTCGACAGGGTGGAGTGATGTGTCATGTTGTAACCTCTCATATTCAGTGGAGTCATTAGAAGGTGTTTTCAACATGCCAGTGACATTCAATTATGATTTCTCCTCTAACTGATGAGGAAGAAGTTCAGTGTCTCCACCTAAGACTAGTTAAGACAGATCAGAGAAAGCTGGCTGGAAATCAATCCTGATAATGCCTGAAATGTTAGCTGGGAGGCAGCTGAACGAGATAACAGGCAGTCCCAGTCTTTTGACTGCAAGAGCATTACTTACAACGTACCATGATTAAGCTGACATTTAGCTGTTAAATTAGCAATAGTGAAAGCCAACTGTTTATCACTTGTTATCAACTAATAGCTGTATCCCTTCCTTTCTGATGCAGATCTTCCAGCATTTTCCAAGACTGTTTGCAGAGTTTTTGCAGCACTGCAATGTGCTGTATGCAGGACTGCTCTGAACTACTTGGGGAGAGAGCCCATGTGCTTTTATGGCACAGAGCAGCATGATTTCCGAGCAGAGCACTACACAGAGAATGCAGCACTACACACCCTGCCAACGCTGGATGGTCATCATCAGAGCTAAGCAAAATGTAAAGTGATGACCACAATGTAAAAAGCCATAGCTTTGGGTCCCACCTGTTGAAGGGACATCCTCTCTGTTCACCGCACAGTACAGAGCTGGGGTAGGTGAGCTGGGCTGTCTTGTTCCTGTGAGGGACAGTAGGCAGACCTATCTCTCTAAAAGTTTTGTAAAAGCTCACTTATGAAAGCAAGTATTTGACACTCTGCTTTGCTTATAATTTTTGGCACCTACTTTGGCAGAATCTGGGGGACAAGACCAAAGACTTGCTTGGTGACTAACAAATTTGCTCTGTAAATTATCTTAAGGGTGCCAGATGTTGGCTTAGCATCTACAATTTTGAAGGAGCTTGGGAACCTGAACAGACTTCTGGTATTAATACCCTTTCACAAAAGGAACTTAAGTCACAAATACTTCAAGTGCCTGATTTGGTGGTGGGGAAGGAAATCCTCAATTAGAAGAGCAATTCTAAATTTTTTAACCATTTTTTTACCTCTTTACTTCCTTCATCTCTCTATACCTGAACTCTCCCCAAAGTCCTCTCTTTCTGGCAGTATGTTCTCGACCCTAGCTTGGGAACACAGACTCCCAAAGAAGTCAAGAATGCCGTTGTTCTGTGATGAAGTGGAAAAGCTTATCTTAGCTCTGAAAGTCTATTTACAACTTCCCATTAATACACTTTCCTAGCAAGGAGTACAACTACAATGTCTCTATTCTCTTCCTTGATTAGTCTAGTTATTCAGGAAACTCTGGCCGCTTAGCAACAGATTCTGATGACCTAGAAAACTTCAGCACACTAAAAAACAGTTATGTGTGGAACATAGAAGAGCTAAACCAGAGGAAAAAATAGTGTGGTGAACAACTGAAGTATTCAGGTACTGTCAACAGATCCACCTCTACACACATTTTCTTGTATGTGCCTTTCATTATAAAGGCATATCTGCTATCCATAACTCTTAGTAAACAAAATTCTCATCTCTCAAATGGTTTTCATCCATGTTTGACTGCCCTGTTCTTATTCTTTAATTCTTACTAGCAATTAGGTTTTAATTAAAGCTTTCACAGAAAACAAACCAAAAAGCCTCAAAACACAACCACCTTAAAACATGCAATACATTCCTGCATCATTTTTATGGGATGCTGCACATACATGATACAAAATTATTTCCAATTCCTGTTACACTCTGCAACAGTTCTAATACTTCTCTTGGTGACTTTGCTCCTTGACAGATACAGTTCTTGTATTTAATGACTTTTTGTAAAATATTGATACTCAGTTCCATTAAAAAAAGAATGATTTATGGGTGTAGGTTTTTTTCCTGCCTAGGGAAACACTAACTGTTTTTAAACAACTTCCATGGAAAAGATTAAGAATTACAGAATACCAGTGGGACACATTTTGAAACAAAATGAAATACACAGTTATTCATTTCACAATGCCTAACTTAGCCACTTAGCCCCATGCAAACACTTCCCCACTTTTTGCTTCAGCTGATCAGACAAAACTAAAGCACTCATTATTTTTTAAATACTCTAATTGTGCATTAAATACTTGTGCATGTTTACAGCCAGCCAAATGTAAACACCTTACCTGTTCATGTCTCATCAGTTCTATCATTTCCATAACACTGATAAAATGGTAACAACGATCTGAGTGATCAACCATAGATGTAGGAAAAGGACGATTCTGCCAAATTCTCCATTCAGACAAAGAAAGTTCGTGAGTTGCCTCCTCTTCACGCTTCTGCAGTTTGAAATTAAGATTGGCAAAGACCTTTTAGTCAAGAAATTGTTTAGCAAAACCAATGCCCACTTCTCTGTCAAGGACAATAAATACCCTGCATGCAGAGAAGTATCCAAACATTATCACAAAGATTTAAGTCTGGTCTAAAATAAAAACAATTCCATGCTTTGTGTTGTCATGGCTTTTCATGGAAGACAGGCTGTTTTAAGTAGTGAAATGACACAAAAGCTCCAAATTTTTTCTCTGAATCAGAGAAGAGCTTTTAAAACTTGAGGTTTTCTTTCAGTAACACTTTTATAGTTACATAAACTCGGGGATGAAAAAGCGTGGATACAATACCATCATGAATACAGCAACCTGCATGGAATTCTTAGAAACAGGAATGGAACGTAATGGATACTGAAAGACTTTTTAATGTATTTTTAATTTACAGACCTAACCTCAAAGACCCATTTCAAACATCTAATTTCTAAATTCTTAACCTCAAAACCCTACATGTAATTCCCAAAATTGCATTTTTAATACAGACCTCCTTCAAATTCACAGTTAACTTTGTTACTCAGGGTATCCTTTAAGACTCATGTCAAAGGAAATATTACATTTATGTTAAACTCACTGATATTTCTTCCAGGTTTTCTAAGGTTTCAAATGGAACTTGAGGCAATATCAGTTCCTTTACTCCATCACTTTCCTTAATCCTGTAAAGTCTGTCCCATATTTCATATTCCTCAGGCGAGAGAGACCAGCTCTCATGACTGTGTATTTGCTTTTTGTCTATGGGGGAGAAAAACAATAACAGGAAAATGTTACCTACTTTAAGAAAAAGGATACACAAAATAAAAAAAACTTTGTATGAAACCAGCTAAAAGAAAAAATACTTTCTCTGTGCCACAAGCAAAACCAGATAGAGAGAATCTGATGTCAGAAACAAGTATCAAAACAGTGTTGTATGTTATAATTATGGATAAATCTAGCTATGAAATGATTGTTTTGGGGGAAGGCATTACAAAGATACAAAGATATAGATAGCCAGACAGATATAAATAGAGAGAAATACGTCTATCAAATACCTACAAGCCCTGATGACAGTATAGCAAACAGGGAAATCATATGGCTCGAACTGCTAACCATCTGTCTTAGAGACCTTGGGGAACAAACTGCAAATAACTGTGCTCTTCCCCCCCCCCTTTTTTTTTTATAGTTACTCTTTAAATACTGGAAAGCAACATTAATTTGTTGTGATAAAAATATTTTTTAGTCATTTTTTGAATCAATCTCCTCTGTTAAGGTCATGCACATGAATAAGAGGACAGAAACAAAAGTATTATGAAAATTCCCCAGGAGCAGGGAAAGAAAAAAGAGGCTCATCAGTTTTATTCAGACTCATAACTGCAAGTAGGAAGTATAGGGCACCTGTGAGCACCAATGCTAGATAAAACCAAAGTGCTCGTGTGGCAGCTTGCTGAAGACAAGGCCCTGGTGGTGCTTGGCTCTGAGCGACTACACTCCAGTGACGAAGAGGAAATGGAGTCATTTTTGGCAGTCTGACAGCAAGCCTTGATACCACCACTATTCAAAAAAATGCCAAATCCCTCAAAACAGTCATCAGTGTGAATAGCAAAGTAACATCCAAAGAATGAGTGTTAAGAGCATGTTAAGAATGTGATTGCTTTTAGCCCAGATGTATGAAGCTTGGAGAAAAATAATTAAGTTAATTTGACAATCACTCTGCAGACAGGATTTGGGATAAATCTGCAGTCAATACCCTATTCTGAATTAATGCCACGTGGGAGGAATCTGCGTGTATCCCTCAATCCTCTCAAGTTACAACTGCCAGAGACTGTGTCTCTACAGGATGGTGTGACAATGTTGATTAGAGACTCAAAACCAGATGCCTCAGAGTTCAAAGTACTAGGTTCAAATCTTGTTCAGAAAAAGTCTTTCACAGCTGGAAAAAGCTAACCAACACTGAAGTTTAAGGCCATCATTAAAAAAAACCCAAGAAGATCAATAGTGCTACTACAATATTTTTGACTCCAGTCTAGGAGACATTACACTCCTTTATAGCCAACACACAGTTCAAGGACCCAGAAGAGGAGGAAAAAAGAGAGACCTGAAGGAAAAGAAAATTACGAACACTTATCAGAAAGGCATATCTCACAGCCTTTCCTGTTGTTTATAGGAACAGTTAAGTATTAGGTCTGCTCTAGCAGTTCATATCCAGCACCAACACACCAAGACAGAATATGTCCATCTTGGATTAGCATGGAGTTCTGGACAGTGTTGCCTGGACAAGGTAGAAAGGAAAGGCCAGAAAGAGTCCTCAGCTGTAACCAAAATCTAACGCTGTTGGTCATTCCAAAGTGACTTCTACTGCCTCACTTAAGACTTGTCTTCATAACCACGCAGCAAAAAGATGGCCTATCAAGGAACCAAGAATGCATTTTCAAACAGCAAGTTTTTAGATAGGAAAAAGTGGGCACCAGCAAAAAACTTCGTAGACAAACAGATCTAGTTTGGGTTCCCTCTTGCTCTTGAAGATGATTGTCCCGACAGTGTACCAGAACTTTCCTGAGCAGCTCAGGTGATGAACTGTTGCCATCCAGACATGTCCAGGGAAACACCAAGAACAACAGATGACTTGGTTCTCTGTGTTACAGCTCTGGAGGACAGCTCCTTCTGACAAAGACAAGAGGATCCTGCAATACTATACAGGCATGAAGGCCTCCAGCAGCTGGCAAAATTCGGTAACAGATACTTCCCGAAGCTCTGGGCCTTCTGTTTCTGAGTATAAACTGTCCCTCTTCTCACTATGAAGAAAGCTGAAACTTCAACTGTCCAAAGGTTTTGCTGGTTTACTTAAGAAATTATTCACTGCCAGCACAGAATACTGCTTCCTTTACCAGAAGTGTGTGTATGTGGGAGAGGGAAGTGGACAAGGGAGAGTTACAGGTAAAGCAATAAGCACAATATTGCTGCTGAAGTCACTTTTGGCAAGTAAAATTGATATTAATGCTTCCATACAAAGCACAAGCAGCTTGTTTGGGGCAGGCATGACTAGAGAAGAAGATACAATTGGTTTTGGAGAAACCATGTCACTGGCTGAAAAAAATAACTCAAAATAGGTGTAGCTGAAATAAGTTGAAAAAACCCCCCCACCACCTTATTAGGAAAATTTTGTGTAGCTATCATCCTGAAAACAATGAAAGGTGTAACCCACGACACGGGTATTGTCAGGACAAGAAATATGAATTGAAGAAAGTAAAGTACATGTGCATAAACACATCCTTGATTAACTGGGTTTTTTCAAAGAAAATAAACACTGAAAACAGCAGTCTTCTGCAGTATTTCCATAGTTTTCTGACAACCACTCGAGAAGGTAATGTGTATTATTATGCATGTTTAATTCAAATAGGAGATGAACTCAGAAAATTTATCAGCCATCCAAAGCCCTTCCCACAAGTACATTAAAAGGCATAGGCAACTGGTAGGGCATAAAACACCCCACAAAGGTCTAAAGAAGGCATTGGTATATTTTAGAAAAAGACAGTAAAAGAAGTTTGCATCAGTAAGATAAAAACAGCAATTAAAGAAATAATGTGAAATTGTAAAATCAAACAAAAAACACAGCTATGGACAACTCAGAATTGATGCAATCTGAAAAGGGGGGGAGTAGAGTAATTGTGAAGAACCAGGAGAAGAATTAACAAAGTGAGATTTCATCTACATAAATGCAATGCAAAAAGAACAAATTATTGATAGCTTAAAACGACATTCAGCTACCAGGAACAACAGGTAGAGGAAGAGCACATTTCAATGCATGTTAGCTATTTTTTGCCATGCCTGTTGTGGTTTCATACCTCTCACAGAGTGGGGAGATTGGCAGAGAACTTGCAAAGATAATAATGTTAGAGATGATCATACAGATCTTTCAGCACTTTCACCTTTTCAATTATCTTGTGGGATAGTTATTCTCATTTTATAAAGTGAAAAAAGATGAGTATAAAACACATGAGCTGTCTCCAAAGATATCTGTTCAGAGATTTTTCGTCCAATGAGTCCAAGCCATTTTAAGCACAAAACTATTTTTTCTTAAATATTTTTTGATTTTATTGCACTTACTAGTATGCTACTCAATTTCAGCAAGCTCTTTAAAAAACAAAAAACAAAGAAACAAAAAAAAAAAAACAGAGAGAAAAGAATCTCAAATCGGAAGAAACGATATAAGAGGACTGCCAAGTAATGGGATTTTCACTCTTGTTGCTGTGCTTTTTCAAGAAAAGCTCATACAACTGAAGAACACAGTTAGTGATAGGGCAAGACAAGAATAAGGTGTCCTGCTTCTGGTATTGACAAACAGATAAAATTTATGAAAGAGGTTCTGAAGTGGAAAGATAGTACAAAATTAATAGAAATTGAATCAATTTAAGAAGAACAATTTAATTTTGACAAGAAAAGGAGGAGAATGCTTGAAATTACTACAATACTTCTGCCCACGATACTGCAATTTCTGTGCAATTTCTGTGCACATGTATTCTTCCATGGATAAACCTGAAGATCAACTGAACCTCAAGAACAAATGAAAAGTAAGAGAGCATAAGTAAGAATGCACACGGCTTATTCATCACTGCTAGCTTTTTCAATTTTCTAATGCGGAAGGAGGCACCGAAATAAGGAGAGGAGAAAATGCAAAAAATAAAGGCCTTTCTCTTCTTTTTGAGATTTATCTTGAATATCATTAAAATCAGAAACAGCCACTTGCTTCATACAGTAATGAAGGGAACTTCAACACATAAAGCTGGTGCTCAATAACTCATGCTTATGTAACACTTGTTTGCAAGATGGGCAGTCAATCATGTTCATCTTCAGCAACTGAGAGACCTCCATGCACGCTATGTACTTCAACTGTGGCAGCTGCTAACCTATTTCACACAAAAGGAACCTGGTAATTACAGCCTTTGAAGTGCTATTCCCTCAGCAGGAAATATGTTCAGCATATTATCTTCTTTATGCACTTACTGCCTCTCATTTCTATTTTCTAGGACAGGCTTCCAAACGTTCCAAAATGATTATTTACTTCCATGTTTTGCTCCGCTTATTTTCTTGCAAGTTGTGTCTGTTTATTCCATCCTTGGTTTTCCTCACTGGCCACCACCTGGGCTGTGCACAAAACCCAGATAAGCATGCCTTACAGAAGGCTCCAGAGGCATAAGGGGAAATGTCATGATCAGGAGCATCATCACAACTGTGTCACAGCTGTGTCTGCAGCACATGCATACTTACAAAGAGTCTGGGCTGACAATGGCATGTACAGATTGCTCTACTGATACTAATTCTTCCCCATTACATTTCTACCCTGCAAAATGGGAGATAGTATGAACTGTTTTGGAGGCCAAAGGGGAAGCTGATTTTTTTCTGCCTGATTTCATAGCTTGCTTCCCCTTTCTGTGGTCAGCCTTTTGTTTGCCCTGGATGGTGTGTGGAAAGAGATCAGATGTAGATTTTGATAATAAGAATTTTTGTAATCAAAAGCATTTTAAAAACCACTAACTCTACTCAGATACTGAAATACAAAGTTTCCCAAGGCCTTTAGGAGTTTCTTCTTTCAAGAAGTTGCTATTGGTCTTTACAGAAGGCACTTAACCAAAGAGATTGAGCATGACAGTTTCCAAGTATTTACAAAACTTAGCTCTTTCTTCCTATCTTATAATTTTGTTCAGTTTACTGAGCATTTTGGTGCTATGTAACTGCATCAGCTAAAGAGCCATTTCTCTTTTTAGATTAGTTTTCCTCCAAGTGTGTGTGCAATTCATGAATATCCTACCCTTGACTTCTCTTTTTCCTCTCCTCAAATTCCTTTAGTTTTCAAGCATTTCTGTTTTATTGTCATTTACAAAGGTACAAGACATACTTTTCTTGCATTAATAAAAACATAAAGCCTGACTGTTAAAGCTCAAAATGAGATTTTGTATAGAAATATCACTAAACATTTAAGTGACAATTATGCCACCTGACATAGGTATATCAGAAGTCTTCACAAGACATCATTAACATTTGCCCCTTCTGTTTGTAGCTGGAGTTTCTGACCTTCAGTCATTGACTCCATAAGAAGCTCTATGGAGAAAGATGAAACGTCCGATTTGAAGTACGGATATTTGAGGACAAAACTGTGATGTGAGGTTGTTAAAAGAAAAGGATGAGGAAACAAAGGCACAGTCAGCACAGTATCACAGTCAAAAGGCTGCAGCTGACAGAAATTATACTTTTGCTAGAGACCCCAAAACTCATGAGCAGGCAGTTTTGATATGCTGTAATATAACAACATGAGATAGCAGCTCACGCAGTGCTTAGAAAAACACCATAATCCTCTTACCAGTGACATAGGAAAAGAGAGCAGATTTATGCTGTAGGGAACTAGACCTTCTCTCTTTGCAAAGCATTCTTGAACTGCTTGGTTCATATTTTTCAGCAGTAATAAACATTTTATGCAACTTTGGATTTATGCCTTCTGGAATCATACGTGGGCTACGCTGGTAGAAATGAAGCATTTTGTTTCCTGAAATAGCTTTGTGGATGCTCCTTTTGTTACACTGGCTTTGATTGTAAGTCTGTAAAAGAGAAGACAAGTCATATGTTGTTGCATTGTTTTTTCACAACTTAATCAAATGTAAAAGAACACCTGAGTGTCTGTGGGGTTTCACATTATTTTATGTTCCACCATCAAGGTGTTTTTTGGTTTTCTTCTTTTTTCTTTTCTTCCCAAAACACAACTAAAACAAAATGTGAAGCAAGGCCCTGAGAGCCAACCATATTCCCTCTTCTGTGAATATCATCAGTTAGGTCAATGTGACTGCAAGTTCAAGACTTGCAGTATGGCTCCACATTATGGTAACCAGAGCAGAGAGGGGAAAGGAACAGAAGGACACAGATGAGAACAACAAAGCAATAAGGTTGCATTGAAAATCTGATAATGTATACATTAAAACATAGCTACTAAGCTCTTTTTTTTCTTTTTTAAAGAGCTTCCATACTAAAATATCTAAGTCAAATTAAATTTGAATTATCACTGTTTTCTGCCTAGGTAAAACATTCAAAGCAAATGTGACAAAAATCAAGGAAGTACCAAAGAAGTGATTGTTCTTTAAGTTGCAAACAATACAAAATGTAAAATAATGTACAGCTTTTTTACACTCTGTAAATAGATCAGAAGTAGGCACAGCACTTGAGAGAAAAAGAAATACAGCCCTTGCCTGGGGGAATTTACAATTTGCAATAGATACAGGCGTGATGTAAATTAGATTACATCAGAAACAAAGAAAGGAGGTCAAGCAAAAAAAAGGCATAAGCTTATTTGTTGATGTCATACATGCTCCAAGTCCTTTTAATTACACTCCATTTTTATTGTGCAACACAGAAACCAAGACAAAGATGGACAAACTAAGGGAAGAAACTGGTCCCCCTCTGAGTATTTCTTATCCTAATACCCTTCTCCAAGTCTCTGTGACAGGTCACCGATGGAGACAGCATGCCCAGTTAGGCAGACTAAGTGCTCTGAGTATGACTGTATGGCAGCTGTGTTCTTTTTGGGAGAGATGATCTCTGGAAGCCAGGATTAGAGGAGATGGACACAAAAAGATGCTTTCTGAATAAAACTGGAAGAGGTTAACGGCTAGCTTTATTATACTGTCCCTCAGGCATTCCAATAAATATCTTTTAATTCTAGAACAGGCAAAAAGGTCTTTATATGAAAAAAATAATTTGTATTCCCAAATTCATTGCTTAACAGAATTTTTACTTTGCTGTTACTGAGACAGTATGTTTCCTTTTCCTTTGTTTCACGGAGAGTGTCAGCTTGGCCTGACAGGAGCCTGAGAGGCTGTGAACTCCCTTGTGCCCTTCTCTTTGTACCAGTTTAAAGTTGCAGCTAATGGCTCCCTTCCAGGCTGATGCACATGCAGCTGAGCTGTCACAAGACGTTAAAAAACCCAAATCAAAACACAGCACATCTTGGAATATGGCCAAACTAGAAAGGTGGAAGATTCGTAAGCCGAACGCTCAGGGAACCCAGGGCATTAGCAGGGTGCAACTGTGTGACGTGCGGTGCAGTGCTGAAACGCAGTGCGCTTCCATGTGGGACAGCTGAACTGGCTGAGGAAACACGTGGGGAGGTGAGGACCAGAACAGAGTAATAAACACTTCTGTAACAGAAATTCCTGTCAAACGTCAAATTTCCAGACCTGCATTTACCAATTTTTCCCAATAAAATTCCTTCAAAAGTTTATAATTGACTTGAAGTGGTTTGATTTTTTAAAAAAGAAAAACAAATTCCCACAAATTAATATGAGACCTTTAATTACTTAGCTGCAAGTTATGTGATGGGGAAGAATCTCCACATTAACAGATCTGGAAGGAAACTGAATCAAAACAAAAAAAAAAAACAAAAACCCCACAACAAACCCAAGCAAAACCAACCAAACAAAGGCAATATTGTTCAGCAATAAAATTTATTTCATGATCTCAAAACAAACAAACAAAATTACATAAAATTACTATCCTACCTGGGGGAAGGTTCTGCTTCAAAGATTACTGAGAAAATCTGAAGAACCCAATAATCCAACTACTTAAGTGAAACTACAAGGAATTTAAGGGACGATTTTAATATCCCATTACAGAGCAGAGCTTTCAGTAGTAACCAGTCTTCATAAGCAGCATGAGAAAATATCTATTTACAAATACCATTCGCTTTTATAATTTTTAAATTTCATCCCTTCAAAGCAGCTTTTTTCCTCAGGCAGGATTCTTTGGACCCTCATTTAGAATTAAATCCTTGCTACCTACAAATTTAAACCAGAGGCACAACATTGACCGGAATAAATGAAATAATAGCAAGATTCCGAAATTTTGGGTTTACAATTAGCTTACACAGATCTTGGAACTTCTCTGTCATGAAACCCGATCCAACTCAGAACCAACCTCACAAGTAAACAAAGCCAGCAAAGAACAAAATCAATTTTCAGCCTGAACAGTGAGGTGCACCCTAAAAATGCCTTGCATTCAAACAGGGGTTACACAATGAGACTGTAAAGATGCAGGTTCCTGTCACTCTGCAACCAATCTCACCGACAAGTGATGTCAGTGGGGACTGCCTTACCTCCTCCTACCTGAACCCTGCCCCACCAGCTTCCTTGGATCAGACCTAGCAATGGTGCGGCTGTGGGATGAAGCTGGGCAGAGTGCAGGTACAGCTGAAGATCAGTTCCCCTGGCTCACAACTCACGGCTTAGATTTCCACTGGTACATTAGTTTCCCAAGGGGCAGCCTGCACTCAGAGATGATTAATTATACTCTGAGTTGAATGCTGAGGTTCAGGAATTTAGCAAAAGTAGATTTCCACTTAAGCTGATCTCTTCAGACCACATACGCAAGTGTGCTACCACTAAGCACTTGTCTGAAAGCACAGTGTCGTCAGCAATTCAGAGCGAGATGCTTCCAGTCCTCCCGCCCTCAGAGATTCATCCCTATCTCTTCCACATTGTTCTGTACCCTTGTCAAAACCTGTGTATTTTCTGAGTTTCAGTTTATCGTTTACAAAGTAACTGTTATTAAGAACAAAGGCTTGAAGCCCTTCACATTGAGAAAGGGCACATATTTCTAGAATATTGTGGGCTATTATACTTTCCTGTAGGGACAGTTAAAATGCTGCTAGGAGTGCTCAGGATTGCACAGTATATAGTTCCCTGTAACAGACTAAACAACTCACTTTGTTTTGCCAGAGAGAAGAAAGCTACATACTCACCCGTTCCTCCCGCCCTTCGGCGAGGATGACAACGATCCTGCCTTGACGCTTGCGCCCCGTTCGACCCATCCTCTGCACGAGACGAATTGGACTTTTCTGAGCGTCAAAGCAGATGATGAGATCAACTTCTCCAATGTCTAAGCCTTCTTCCCCAACACAGGTAGAGACCAGAGTGTTATACCCACCTTCACGAAAGCGTTTTACCACCTGAATAAATGATTAAAATTAGATTTAACGGGTTAGCCAGAAGGCCCCTTATACACACTTTGCAGTTTAGGCTCAGACAGAAGTTGAAAAAATTAATTTATATCATAAAACTACTTTCTGAATTTGTCAACTACCATATTGTGATCAAATACCATGCACTAATGTTATCAACATTAACGTAACAACTCTTCAGTTCTGAAACAAAGTTTAAAAAAGCACACCTTATTCTGACTCCAGCCATGGCACTCTTCTAAATTGATCTTCCCAACTTTGCAATTAATTTTTTTTTCAATTTTTGGGGGGGGGGGGGGGGGGGGTATGCGT